AATTTATAGGTAGATCTTACCAGAAGACGACGGCTAATTCACGTTTTACTGCACTGGTTTTGTTTTAATATGACTTTTAGGTCAATGCATTCTACGATACATCCTTTCTTGTTTTAGGTGGAAACGAGCTGAGCTTTCGTTTCTCATAGAAAGAATATCATCTGCACTGGGACTTATTCCTGCAAAATTCATAAGTTAACACTAAGTCAATAAGACTGACTGGCTCTACATGCCATATTTACTTAAAAAATACAATATTTTGATATGGATAGATTGTGAATGGTTTAGTTAGTTTATGTATACTCGAATGCACCTGTCTATGTATGCGTGTGTTAGCATCTGCACGCAATACTGGCCATAACTCTGAGTAATTAGAAGAAATCCTAACGTCAGTCCCTGATCATCAAAACTCAATGACTCAGGGAGAAGGATGACTAAGATTAATAAAGTTCGAATTTAACTTTTGTTAATTTTCTAAGATGTAAGCCTTTATGAGTGTGAGCCAGGCTACGAAACCTCTACTCATCTTTTTGTCTACTAACTGGTTTATAATTACATTTCTATCTGTTATTTACTTTTCATTCTCCGATTAACTCAGGTTTATCATTATTTTGCATACTTATTGTTGCTGAAGCATGTTGCAATTTTAGTTCAAAATAGGAGAACACTTAGTACTTTATAAAATTTACTTTTTTCTTCACACTGAGCTCACTTCTGCGTTACTTTGCCCTTACTAAATACCCTTTTCCCCCTATCTTCAGGTCATCGAAGCTTATGGTTCTACCGAGCTCGGCTGTGGTCTCACGCTGACACTTCCGGGTGAGTTTCGTGAAGGCGTCGTGGGTATGCCGATCATCTGCTCTCAGGTCAAACTGGCCGATGTTCCAGAGTTGAATATATTTGTGGACAAGCTCCACTTTGGTGAAGTAAGATGAACTCTAATGACGCATATCCTCAGTTAAATTTTTTTGGCTTTTTCAAAAGGCTAAATGTCATGGAATCCCTGATGTAAGCTCTCTAAGTGCGGAGACACAGACAAGGAGAAATGAGATTTGTTTACTAGATTAAAAACAAGTTTTCCTACATAACTGATTGTATGCTTTACGGGAATCTTTGACTTTCGGACATTGTTTGGATATGCTGAAGCTTAATTGAAAGTTGAGATTTCTTTGCCTGTATAATCTTATCATAGTGGTTCTGCTGATTAATTAAAATCAATATGGGAAACTTCTTCAAAATGAACCGGGTGGCCCTTAGGGTCGTCTTAGTTTTGGCCCAAATCTCAGTTTTTTAATTTAACCATGAATTTCAACCTATCTTTAGCGCCTTCCGATCTATATTGAACTAGACCTCAAATACTCCCTAGGCCAGTTTCATCCGTAGAGTATCTTGGTTAAGCAGGTGATCTAGCGCTTGGTCCTTATGTTTCAATGAGGATACCTCAATAAGTTCAATCATGTAAATGCAAAATTTTTTGTGAAAGCTATGAATTAACTTAGTTGCTCTTTTGAGTACTCGTTCACCACTACTTAGCTATGCGATCCCAACAACTGAGCCTGAAATTTTTTTAAACATCTGCAATGCTCTCAAGCGATTCCACCTAAAGATGGAAGCCCTGATGTTTACTACTAATGCTAGAACAAATCAAATGATATTATCAGTACCGGCTGATAGAGGCCATCACTAAACGTATCAAATCAATTTACATACCAAAACCATATAGGCTACATCAAATTATCCATTTTACTTCACTCTCTAGAAATGTACTCGACTTTGGATAGCTTATTTAAATCTGTGCTCTCAGGTATTTATAGCTTATAAGAGGCCTAATAAACAAATTACTAAACTTGTCTATTCTGACATTTAAGATTCACTGCAGAAGTTATCCCTCTACATTGTTGCAGGGTTTAGGGTAGTGGGTCTATAGCTGTTAGCTGAATGAGTTTGATTTAAGGGTGGTGGTAACTTTCAACATAGTAAAACATCTATAAAAAGTTCGGTGATGACAAACTCCTCTCAACTGTAATTAACTCTCCGTAGACCTCGAAAGAAATGCCAGGTTCACTTCCTGTCCCAGACAGCTTATACAGTAACATGTTGCCTACAATACAAATGTTTACAATGTTTAGCATTGCTCTGGCATTCCATTTTGGCTTGCTCAGTTAATGCAAACAGTCTGGAGGCGGAGAGTGACCACAAGCCTGCTTAGGGAAAATTACCTTTCTTGTATGGTGATATAAAATGTTATAGATAAGCACTGTCAAGGCGTAGGCGAGTAGGCCTGTAGAGTGCATGTATTTGAACCTTTGACTGAGTTCTGCTATAAGGATGTTAGAAACAAAAGGATTCTTGGCTCTTAATTTTTTCATGCGAGCTCGATTTCAAGAACATTCACTTATTTTTGGACAACAGCTGAAATGCGGCGTAGTCACAGTATCATCTGCCTTCTTTAAGTCTAGTAATAAATAGGATTCCTGAGTATGGCCATATTGCTGAACTAAATGAAATTGAATACCTTTAACCAGGGGTTGAAAAAATGGTGGGGTCCCATCAGCTATAGTCTTGTTAGTTCAGTATGCTTTTGCTTTTATATTTCTCAAGATGTTTTTCGCCTCTCAGATGTCATTTATTTCTTATACCTTTATTGATCTTTCCTATCATTTTATTATTTTAAATTTGGCCATATCTATGGTTTCATGACAGTTATGATCATGGTTGTTACCTAGGGCTAGGAGTTGAGTTTTCCCACAATGAGGGGAGTAAGTTTCACAATGTCATTTAATTTCACTAGGTTATTATTAAAGAAATATTGAGCCTCGAAACCTACTTGCCTCGAAAATGACTAACTTCATTGATTACAATAGCAATTACATGGTTTCTTCATTGTCATTTCCGCTATAAATATGGTTCAGAAGAGGCCTGATTTGCCCTTGCTTCCACCTTCGCCTTGTGACTCACTGGCACACATGCCTGTGCAGTTTAGTTTTAACTTCGCTTCGATATGACCCTGTACCGAATTCCGTTGGGGGTTCTGATGAT